ACTGGTAGAGTTCACCATTCTCTGGGTTTAAAACAGCTGCCTTGAAAGCAGATGCAAGAACTCTGCAGAGATGCTCACACTGTATTGAGACTTCCAGAGGGAAAAAAATAAGCCTTCCAAAATTCATACTGCTAATAGTGAGCATTGACATTTGCCTTGACTGTTAACTTTGTTTAATAGCCAGAGGTATAAATACATATACACACTCTATAAAAAAGCACTTACTTGCATATTTTGTTTTACTGTACAGAAATGTACATGAACCCAAATAAATGTGTCAGCAAATCCAGAGCAGTAACAGTTCAGTCATTACTGTCTCAATGTTCCTGTCACAAAGGGCAGTATCATCTTACATAGTTTCTTATAGGCCAGAAACACAACAAGTTGCATAAGAACATGTATTCTCTTTCTTACTTTGCAGCAATGTGAGAAGATCTGACATATGTATTCTTGTGTATATCGAGACCTACTGAGCAGTGCCATGAGATGGGAGATAACTGTAGCATCCTGGAAACAAGTCAGAAAAGAAAAAAAGTATTAACACCATATTTCAGCAGAGTTTCTTCACAGTTTGATACTTAAAAGAGTACTCTTGATTCTGCATTCAGTGTTCTCCCTTCCACTGAAACTTGTATAGACACAAGACAAGACCATTAAAGTAGTACAGAACAGACTTCAAGGTACAAGTGACAGTTCCGAGCCAAATCCTCATAGAAAAAATAAAAGGTCAATGCAAGTTAGGTAAAAAACTTCTGGGATTTGTCTCAAAAATCTTTACTTTGTGAGAATACAATAAAAGAATGGGGAAAATAACACATATCAACTGCAAATATGGTCAATGAAAGCTATTAATTCAGGAGTTGCCTTAGTATTGTCTTACTACAAGTGTGATTTACTTACCTCTTCATTTCAGCTCTGAGTAGAAAAGAGCAGGGAGGGGAACAAAGTGCCAGACTGAACAATGCACAATCCACCTTGAATTCTGTGACACTCGCTTTCTAAATGATTAATGTGGGGTAATAATTTCCTTTGTCTTTGATGCTATTAGTGTGCATGACACTAAGGACAAAGAATTCCAAATAAATTGTCAAAAGAAAATAATTATACTGAAGTTCCCTTCCCAAAACACATCCAGTTACTTAAGCTCTGTGGTAAGTTACAAAATTACAATGTTTTAAAGCTTTCGGTTACTGTTGCCAGTACATTCTAGTGGCAACAACTGTAGTGATACTGAAAGAAATACTGGTCACTGTGGTTTGGAGAGGTGGTATTACTTCCATGAGATAAAGGCTGCTGAAGAGAGATGAAAGACTGAATGAGTCTTCCTGTTCTAAGAACTTATCCTATATTGACCCTATACAAGTAAGTTAAACTTTGCTTTACCTGCAGGATAAAACTCCCTCTGACTAGGGAGAGGTGGATTAAATTAAGAGCAAAACCTTCATACTCTTCAGCTACTTTTACAGTAATGAAAGTAGCACTAACCCGATTGTTTTAATGACTATAGCTTCAGAGATACACTGCTGTTTATGAAAAGTTTTATTTTCCAATTACACTTTTTTATATTATCAAAATAAACATGGATAAGTCTCTCCTATTTGTATACATATTTGAGATTAGACAAATCTTTGCAATATTTATTTTTTTAAATTTCTTTAATATTATATATACATATAAAATGTAGTAGACTTATTTTAGAAAGCTTTGCTGTCAACAATCCAGCCTTCTTATTCTCAGCAGAAAACAATAGGCCAACAGAGCCACCAAACACACTGAGAATAAAAACAACTTGTTTCTATTGCTTGTTTCTCAACAACAGGAAAGGATCAATGAACAACAGCTTATTTACCATTTCAACATCTTACAGGGAGAAAGTTACTTGAAACTGGAGTCCTTCCAGGTACACCAGCCATATATCCATGCTCACTGCATGCTTATGTGCATAGGAAAAGCAAAGGACAAACTACTCTAAGCAGTATTCTTAGTGTCTGGCCAACAGCAGCTCCACTTGATCTTCTGCCTTTACACGTGGCATATATACCAACACATCTGTATCTTTGCAATTTCAGACCCAAAGGCCTGCAAGGAACTGTTTTGGTTGCAGGGCCATAGTGGACATTAAATCCACAAGTATGTTGTAATGGCGCTGATAGTCACAACCATAATGAAGTGTCTCTTGACTCGCCCTGAGAGAGGTAAGCCCGCAGTGGTGTGTAAACTAAGTGGGTATTGGGTTTTGGGCGTACACCAAGCAGAGCAGCAAATTTCCATGAGAATCTAAACAGAAGCAGCTAACAAGACAACCTTGTTCTCCAGAAAAACATGTTACAACCTTACAAAGTCATAGAAAGTCCCCAAAACTTCTAAGGGTCTCCTTCTTGGAGTTAAAGCAAAACAGACTGACAATATACTCAGGATTCCTCTGTGGCTTAACACATTTGGCCCACTAAAATATATTCTTGTCAATTTCTGTAAATCTTAGGCATCTGAAGATATCAAACCACATTAGTGTTCAACACAAAATACATACTAAGAGGTTTATCAGTGATAAATTGTACCTTACACAAAACAATCAACAAGTCAGGAGGGTAGGAGGGAGAGAAAAAGAGACACCTCAGAATTCAGAGGTAGTAAAGCTTAAAAAACCAGAAGCTTCAAAATGTAAAATGCAAGACTTGAAATCTCCTGCAGAGAAATCACTGACCACATAATCTGGGTTATTTTAAAAACTGCAACTAGAAGGATGTAAATATTGGTCTAAAAGTTCAAGTTCAAGAAATTGACAGAGATATTGTTCTTGCGAAAGGTCAGAGGTACAAGAATCCACAACTAAAGAAACATATGCAGAGTGAGTGGAGTGAAAAAATCTGCACTAGCTCCACAATCCTTCGCCAAAGGAGATTCCTGTGAGCTAAAAAAGATTCAAACTGCCATGGTCAAAGAAGTAATAGACACAGTGTTCCCTAATGTTAGTAACATGTTTTTCCATCTACATGATCTAGAAAACCATAGAAAATTGCAAACTTCGGACATGTCAGCAAGCAGAAAACCTAGACTGGGAGGGACGGGGGAGGAAGAAAACACATTTGTCCTCTTTTGGTCTCCCTCTATTATATATTGCTTTATAACTGTATTTTGTCCTTATCTTAAATTTGGTTTTCTCTCAGCTAACCAGGAAATTCTAGATAAGAATTTAGAGATGTCAGTATTCATTCAGGTTCTTGGGGAGAAAAAGAAAACCAGAAGAGTAGCAACTAATTTATTTCCAAGTCATAAGTGACTAGCCTGCCACCAGATTTGACACACATAGATCGGGTAATTCTTATGGACTGCTCTGCACAGCTGACTCGTCTACAGAGAGATATGGGCAGGTAGAGATCTGCATTTTTGTCAGGCAGTGAACACAATACGCTCACATGACCTGTCACCTTTATCACATGACCAATGCACATCTGGATACTGAATAAGGCTGCCAGCTCTGAAGTGGTCTTATAAAAAGCTATAGGACTTTCCCTCCTTCCCTCAAGCTGGTAGAAAGACTTCACAGATACATATCTGCATCTCAACAGATCTCTCACCCTGGGACAGCTCCATGTCATTCCTCATTTCCATCTGGATGGTCACTAAATCAGTCTCGGCACCAAAGCCTGCACCCTTCCAGTGAAGGATGTCTCCCCAAGATGTGTTTACCTGGCACAGCAGGTCTGGATACAGGTTACTGTTCTGCAGCAAACTTGCTGTAAGATCGCAGTATAATACACTAGAAGCCTGACCTTTTGAGAGCTCAGCGTTCATTCAGCTCAACACACATATGGAAGGGTCTTCACATTTTCTCAGCATAGGTCCTAAGTTCCTACAGGAAACAGCCCAAATGTTTCCACCTCCAAAAAACTATTTTGTCTTTGGAACTGAAAATAACTGCTGAAAACTGCCAGCAGTTTATCCTTCAAGCTCCTGCCTATAAGGAAAGACTCAAGAGGAAAGAAGTAGATTTTGACACCAAGCATTTCTGCTGGGAGAAATATGCAGGTTACTGTGAATTACGTGGTTTTGGTTTTATTCTTTTAAATGAGATTTTATGTTTATTCTCTCCCAAACCTATTACAAATAGAAGGAAATATTTTAAGCAGCAATCTTTAAACCACTTGCGTATCCTGGATCTTAACTGGGAGGTTCTCTGAAACCTCTAGAGTGACTGTAACACCCTTGGAAACATTGAATTGAGTCATAATACTGTTGGAAACAGTCCTGCCCAAGCTTTGAGAAACAACATCCTCCATGCAGTCAAACTGCAAAGAAATTCTGGGAAAAGTTGCTATCTCAGATACAACTCAGAAATCAACTTTTCAGAAGTCTTCTCCAGAACTGCTGGACAAGAATGAAAAGCCATTGACAAAGTTAGTCTCTTACCTTCACAGAAACGGTGACAGTCTCCCTGGAGCTGTTGTGATCAGAGGGAGCAGAGTGTCTAAACGAGAACTTTAAGTTCTTGCTGTTATTCTCAATGTCAGAAAAGCAGACTGTCTGCCATAAAGTGTTGCTTAGGCCCATAATTACTTTGTTAATTGCAAAAACAACTTCTCAACTGCCATTTTGTGAAACACAGCTTGCAGCAGTGGGTATTGTGGCTATTACTTCCAAGAGGTACGAAATACATCTCTTCTTTTCAAAGGATCTACATTCATTACTTTTCAGAGCATAGGTTTGGGTATTCCCACAAGTGAAGCAAAAAAGAAGTTGATTTGCAGAAATGTGACTTTAAGTACAGTCAAAAAATATTTAACTTTCAGGTGTCCAACCGGGATGGGAGATTGGAAAGTGGGTATTATTAGTTGAAACTAAGAACAAGGGCACCCTCACCAGATGATAATTTCCTGTAGCTATGGTTAATTAAGGGATATCACATTTGCCTGTATAAGGAATGGGGTAGCAGAGTTCTGTCATCACAGCTGCGCAGCAGAGAAAGCAAAGGATGAAACAGAAAATCCAGTATCTTTGGCATACTGTTCCCACAATGTCAGTGGTAATTTATATGCTCATACTGGTTCTTTCATATTTCTGCACATACTCTTCCACATGCTCTCCCTTCAAGATATCAAATCTCTCCTCCAAACAGGGAGCAATTAACACTCTCTATTAAGCACTGATGCCCAGGAAGAGATATGGATTGTTAATGGAGATGATAATCTTCAGCCCTGACTTTGGATGCTGAGAGCAGGAAGCAGATGTCCCTGCAATTATGAACCGTTAGAGGCCGACTTGGGGGAATCTGGGAGCACGAAGTGGAGTCAAAGGAAGGATCAGAGACACAAAGAGGAAACTCTCAGATCACTCAGGAGTGGTGCCTTCAGCAGTCACACATACAATCTCTATTGAGGGTTTACTTGCTGAACAATCAAAAAACAACTGGAAAAAAGGCAGTGAACAGTGGAGGACAAAGCTGGCTGATAATCTATACATAATAAATACAAGAGTAAGCTTGTAGCTTACTCCTACAAGAGCTGCAGAAAGACTTAATGAGATGGACTAGGTAGCAGATGAAATTCAGAATAGGTGTATGGTAAAATTGAGTCCATAGAAAACAAGTTTACAGACCTATTTCTGGAATTAAAATGTAAGAAAACATTAGAAAAGGAATAGAGAACAAAACAGGTATCACTACAGCACTGCATAAAAACTACACAAAAATCATTAAGAAAATCTGTTGAGGACTATTAACACAGAAATTGTCTCTAGTAATGACAGACACATGAATTGCAGAGAAATTATGAAATCAGAGGCCAGCTGTGCCCTTCTCTATAATCATCAAGTCTTCCTCAGCAAGTGACAGACATCCCTTTGAGTGGTGAGACCAGAGTGGTTAGCACTGTGAGCTCCTAATTACTCTCAGAAGTGGGACTTGCATGGTGACCTCCAGCCAGCAGACTGGTGCAATGCTACCCTGTTCCTATCAAAAGAGATTACTGGTACAGCACAGTTTTCATGCCACAGCTTGCCTCATCCCTTACACTGGGACAAAGGAAGAGGGAAGAGTGCAAACCCTTCTTTCCCCTCCTTCCAATTAGGAGACAGGGACTGAGTTTGGGCAAGGTCTTTTGTGTCTAAGCTGCCAAGAGACAGCTCTACCTTCAGACAAGGCTCTGCATCAATGGCTTTGCCCAGTCAACTTAATGAGGTCAGCACCAATAGCGTTACTGCTCACATGCTCCAAGCTGAACTCAAAATTATAGCAATGGTGGGGGACATTTTCTATCCTCCCACCAGTTACAGTTAAATGTAAATCAAACGTATGTTAATTACAATGAAAGAAATTTTGGAAGTGAATCTCTTCCACATGATGTGCAAAGAAGCAAACAGCCTCACACCTGGAGTGGGAGGGCAGTGTCAGATAAAACGTTAAGTTTCAGAAACTAACATTTGCCAATATAGCTGTGACAATGGTCCCTGTAAATACCATTTAAAGGCAGTTTTTACTCCTTAAGATTGCACAGAAGCCTGAAAATTTTAGGTTTTTTCTTCATCAGTGTGTTATTGATCATCTCATATTGCTATTAACATTAGGTGAGTCAGATGCCTTAAATGTAGGTGAGAAATGTTAACAGTGTTGGGCAAGCAAGTCCTCATTACTACTGCAGATAACAAGGTCCTTCACTTCCACCAACTCTATAGGTTCTAAAAGGACAATAATCTGCTTACAACTTACTGTGTATAGTAGATCCTCTGGAGTTACAGGACTGATGAAAATGGTACGGAGACATCGCAAGCAAGCTTCAATAAACTTCAAATCTGGTGACAGTAATCCTATAAATATAGACAAAAAACTATTCTTCAGTTTCATTATCTTTGCTTATTTGAGTACCTTAGGAACATTTACTAACATAGACCCGTTAAGGGAAAAGTACCTTGCAATAAGGCTGGGATTATATGGCAGTCTAGTAGAGATTTGACATTATTCTCTGTACCCATTGCAAGGCTTCCGAGGACCACTGCACATTCTGTTCTCAGTTCCGTGCTGGAGGTTTCTTGCTGAAGTAAATACAGCAACCTGGAAAAAGAATTACTTTTAGAGGAAAATTCAGATGGAAGAGAACTTTTAAGTCTAGTGAAAAAAAACCCCACAATACCCAACAACTGAATCCTGCTATGTAAAGAAGATTAAGTCCTTAATAGAAAGATGAAGACTGAACAAGAATAAGATGAACACTTTATTCCTAAGAACCTTTTTACACTGTGTGTTCCTACAGAGGTTTTACTTGCTGTTATGGCAGAAAGATACCACACTCTTTTCTAAAAATGAGGTGTCATAGTACTGATATCTGGGATGAGGTCTTTCAGGATACCAGGAAGATCCCAAATGTCAATTTAAAGGAAATGAGTCTGCAGTTTACATCAATGGGAATCTCGTGCATCTCCCCTAACACCTAGGGACACAGTTACCACTATCACGATGGTTGTTATCTTTGGCAGCAATTTCTTCTGGGTCACAGTTGCAAAATAATTCCATAATAATCACAAGCATGGGGATTGAGAGTAATCTGAGTTTTAACACCAAGAAATTATCATTTATGAACATAAAGAAAGCCCAGAAAAGTTTTATATGTGGAAAGGCAGATGAATTGTAGCTAAACAGGATCACTTTAAGTCTAAAACCCATCTTACCAAATGCATACCTTGGGTCTCAATCAATTTGGATTCTTTACACGGTATTAAGAGACCTAGGAGCCCCTTTGAAAATATTTTAGAATACATCAGTAGCTCCTGAATCACAGCAGAGGTCACAGAACAATTTCAGCCTAAATCTGAGTCATACAAAGAGCCCAGGTAGCAACCAGATTCCTACCTCACATCAGCACAGAAGATAATCACTTTAAGATTCATTTGGTTTATAAGCTTAAGATGAAAACCACTTACCTAAGGGCTCCCACATTACATACAAGTCTGAGCAAAACTATAACAGGTAGGATGACTGGGAACACTGAGATACAATTCTCTCTATATATGCAACATACATAGTCACCTTTCTAGATTCAGTGAGCTAAGATAGAAATATTCTCAATTTCATAACACACTACTGTCTAGTTTGAAAAGGTCTCTGCTAAAGCCAGGCAATACGCTGAAGCCTTCTCTAAGAGCAAAAAGGAGCTAAAATCCAGCACCTACCCCATTGCTGAAGGGGACAGAAGTAGTTACTTGGGTACACAGATCCCTCAACAAAATGCCCCAAAACCTGACTTCCTAAATCAAAGAAAAGGGAAAAAATAACGGGAAACACAGTAGGCAAATGCAATTTAGGTACATGGAACTGGAAAAGGCCACCAAGGGAAGTGCAAGCAGCCACACAAGAGACTGTAACACACAGTTGAAGAGTATCTTCAACACACACTCCAAATGTTTCCATTTACATAAGGCAGAAATTGCTTCTTAGAATCCCCTACATTTGAAAACTAAAGTAAAAGTCCAACAAACGTAACTGCAGGATGTCACTGGACGAAAGCTCTGACATCAACAGTCTCTTCAATACTCATAAGCAGAACATTCATTACATAAAATTCAGACTATCCCAGGCAGCAGATAATTTACCAAAATCTTGGAGAAGAACAGCAAAATATTCCCCCAGTGCTCCCTAACAATTTATTTGGATGAAAAATCTTCTGATTGAGAATCTGCTAGGAATCTGCTTTGCTCTAAATTGAGGTTTGAAGCAGCCAGAAAGCAGAGGTATGCTATTATCACTCAAAGCACACATGTACCCTTTTCTAGATGTCTCATGGTGGAAAAAAGCTCCAAAACACAAACACATACTAAGGAGATTAGATATAATTTTGTCCTGAACACAAACAAGACAGCTGAAATGTGGCACAAAATTAACATGAGAGATGCAAGCAACCTCAAAAGCACAGGTATTTTTTCTCCTTCAACTTCCTTTAGATTCAAAGGATCAGACTAGCATCATTTCAGAATGGCATACATTTCCAGAATCACTGCTGTTTCCTTTAATCCCCTATATACTATAAACTTATCAAAGGCATCCAGGTTCTTTGTCCCTGTCTATTTGTTTTATTTGAAAGGTCATTTATCCTTGATGTTTAGAAATATCTTCTAATTTCTTGTATATATCTATTCCTGACTAATTTACATCACTTTGGTATGGCATACATATTATCCTTTAATTTGTATAATTTTTTTAATTTCTTACAGCAGCCAGCTAAGGGTCTTGAGGCACTTGGCCCACACTGAACACGTGGCTCAGTGGAGCTGATCTGCTGTTTGTTCTTCACTTTACTGTAGGGCCCTTTAATATTGATGGAGAAAGGTATGTTTAAAAGGCTCAGATTATCAGTTGTTCCACAAAAGTGTCTCTCACACATAATTTGTGCAAAGTCAAAATTAATCGTACCTGTATTATCAGCTTCTGGAAAAGGAACAAAGTTCTATTTAAGGCAAATAAATCACATGTTTCTAAAGGTGTAAGTTCCGGTATTGTATTCTTTGAAGTATCAGCTACGCTATGTTTAAAGTAAAGATTAGTGCTGTTTCTGAAAGACTACAAAAGAAGCAAAGTACATAATCAATGTTATGCAAAATAATTACAAATGGAAAAAAGCATCCCACTTCCAATCCCAATAGGACAGAATAATTACTTCCTTACAGAGAGCTGGTTTTGTTCTCTGCCTTCTAGATCAGGTAAGGGTAGACAGGAAGCAGAAGCTTCAGTGAGTCATCCTGGCTAAAATTCATCCTTGAAAAGATGTTTTTTCTGGACACTGAGCTACTATATGGAAAGTGCAATCTCATCCACTGTTCTAACTCTGATTGACATTTGCCAATTGCCAAGAAAAATTCCTCATTGTAGAAAATAATTTGACAGGAAATATCGTGAGCAGATCAGAAGATTTATTTATTGCAGTAACCTGTACACCTGTTTTATTTTAACACCAAAGACTTGACTTTCCTTGACCCTTCTAACTTACACAAATACATTTTGTAAGCTAATGTTGCAGAGCAGTTTTCAACATATTCTATTTGTAACTTAACTGCTAGAAAGTTATGTATCTTCTATAATCTGTAACACCTTTTCATGGCAAAATTTAAACATTTCCCCCTGCTATTTAAAAAGTAAGTGGAAAGATTTTACTTTAAATAGCTGGCGATTTAGAAAACATACTGAAAACAACTCAGATCAGTCAAGAACAGAAATCAGCAACAACATATATACAATTTTTCATCTCTGCACAAAGAGTGAGGAATAAAAAGTTTTAAGTCTGTATTGGAAATGATGTAGCTTCAGGTGTGATTATGTACTTTATTAAAAGTTACTTTTAACAATTTTTTTAAATGATACAGTATATGGTACAGTAATTTTAATAAGACTTAAGGCACTTGATTCTTACTGTTTTCACTATGCTTTCTCAATCTGCTCCTGCAAATACATAAGTGTTGGCACCCTTCAGCAATGGTATCTGTAAGGACATACCCAGGCTCACCCATACCTACACTGCTGTAAGTAGATCTACTTATGATGCAGGAACATAAAACTGACTCACATAGTTCATGTACAGAACAAACATGCTATCAAGCAACATAAAACAACTTCCAAAGTGGGAATTAAAAGCTTCCATTTCCCCTAAATCCTCAACCATACCTCAAGACAAGTGTTTTGGCAGCATGCTTTAAGTTGGGTTGGTTTTTATGGACTAAGCTGGGACAAGGACAACTGGCCAGTAGCATCTGTCCCTTCCTGTGAGAAAGATCTCACTTACACACTATCACTGACCACTACTAACTTGGAGATGTGCTAAGCTTAATTTCAGAATTATGCAAAGGAGTACTGTTATGGAAAAATACCTACTCTTGGATTAGATTATTTAAGATACCCAAGCCCCCTCCCCAATCCAGAGAAGCCTTAAAAAAAGAATCAAGACTAAACCAATCCTTTCACTGATTATTTTCCTTCAAGCCTAGCAAGCCATTCGCCAAGTTTGTCCAACATGGGGAATACTAGGAGATTCCCCTGATATAAGTGTTGGTAAATATGGAGCTAATTACTAACTAAAAAATGTCAGTAACAGTCACTTTTTTTAAAAAAAACAGCTTTCAAGAACCTAGACATCAAAAAAACCTAGACATCAATTTAGAAATGCAAGTATATTTTCTTCCATTTTCACTATCAAGTCCTGAACACCTGCTCTGAGACGCAGTTTCCTTGTACAGTTCACACCAACAGCCTTCTGCGATTATGCAGTACTTCGGTAAATAACCTGTTCCTTGTGTTCAGAAATGTTCAGTCATGTCCTAAAACACTTTCTTTTTAAAGGGATTTTTACAAAATCCAAAAGCAACCTAAATTCTGAAGGTTGTTCTCTTCCAAAGAAAATAATTGCTATTTTCTTTCCCACTAACACTCAGCACTTGGAACAGATACTACAGCTGTGTTAATGCTAAAGAATGAAAATGAGGACTCAAAAATACGATCAATTTTTATAACTATTAGTCAAAGAAAAGTATCCTAAAATGAGATGTCACAGTCTCCCTTCTAGAAGCAACAAGTTAATTCAACACCTCCAAAAACTAACTCTAGTACCAAGGTAAAAAGAAATCTGCAAAGCAAAGACAACCACTTCTGAAAAATTTCATACAAAGCAAATAGTATCTATTAGTTTTTTTAAAAAGTCGAGTCTAGAAATGTGATGGCAGGACTCAGGTTTGAACTACACTATTGAAAACCCTCTGACTACTTAAATGTCTGTAACAGACAGTAACACAAACACTCCACTGCTTTGGATTACAGAGAAAAACATCCTTCTACTTCTACAGTACTGTAGTGCTGCAAGCAGTAGGGCAGTAAGCTGCAAAGAAAGCTTGCCCTTTAGGAGCAAAACGCATCTCAGCTTACAGCTCTAGTAATTTATTCTAATATTCTTTCATTTGTTCTATATACGTCAAATAACTTGCATTCAATCTGATTTTTATTCACTTAGCTGAATTCAGTGTTGGAGTACTGTACATTATACTGAGCTGTAAGAGGTCTGAATTTTAAAAAAACCC